TTTATTTGTCTTAGTAGAGTAAAAAGGTAATTATATGTTGTACTCTTAGTAAAGTTCCAAATTTACACACTAGGAGAAATGGCTGACTTTGCCTATGTAATATAAAAGGAGTCAAATTCTCTGAGCACTTCGTGGTACTATTTGCATTTAAGTGTCACTAAATCTTCAAAAGGGACATTATTGGGATAGCTTAAGGTAGAATAATAAAGTAATTAGTTGTAATGTAGTGATAAGTAAAGGAGATTACTGAATATTTCTTTGTTTTAATTATGTGGCCTGGGTTAATGATGAGGAAGCTATCAGAAATTTCTGTTACCCATTAATCTTGGTTAGTAAGCATTACTGATCCTTACCCACAAACTGTTGATTCTTTCTGAGCCAGTGAAACATAAATGGTACAGAACAGAATTAGCTAGTCCGCACAAAAGAGAGAGAATTAGCAAATAAGCATACAGAAAAAAATGACAATTCTTACTAATGAAGATATGTTCACATAGCTAGAGAACTATTTTATAGCTATTTAATTATCAAGATTTCTTTTAAAAATTATAATGCCAGTGCTTATAAGATTATATTGAAACTAGTACATGTAGACATTTTTAAAGAGAATGAAATGATACAAAGCTCTTGAAAAGTAATTAATAACATAAATCAAGGACCTAATTAATGTTTTCATTTTGAAGAATACATCTTTAAAAAAATTAGAAAGAAAAAATTGACATCTGCATGTTTATTCCAGTTAATGTTCATAATATTAAAATAATAGAAATAATCCAAATATGCAACTTAAAAGGATAATTAAATAAATTATGTCTCCACAGGAAATAATATTATATAACACCAAAATAATAGTTATGGAGGCCTACTCAAAATACTTAAGTTATAATATTAGGAAAAATAGGGAACCAGCAGTTAGCGTAATGGCTATGTCGCTGCATTCCCACGTAGTCGACCGCGGTTCGCGTCCCGGACCCAGTGACTTAGAACTCACGATGGGTACGTGTGCCTGCATGCCCAAGATCCCAAGAGGAGAATGGAGGAGAAGGGATTGCGGTGTGGTCATCCCCCCTGGGGGGTGATTTCTCTGTCTCTATGTCTCTCTCTGTCTGTCTGGCGAGCGCACGCGCCCTATAACAAAAACCTCTCCAAAATATATATATATATTAGGAAAAATAGGACAGGAAGAAGTTTTCTCTGTGTAGAAAACTATGCAAAACATATAATGGACATATAATGGGTAAAAAGCAGGGTAGTGTGGTGAATACCCACAGTTGACCACAACACAGGCTTTAATTTGAATTTTGGCTCCACATTTGCAAGCTGTTGACTCCAACAAGTTATATAAGTTCTATGTGTTTTGTTTCCTCATCTGTAAAATGGAGATACTCATTTCTCCTTATAGGACAGCTATAGGAATTACATAACTATAAAGTCTAAGAAAAAGTAGCAAAATCATAAATGAATCTTTTTTTTTTTTTACTGTCTTACTTCCATTAATTTTAGAATTCATTTATAATGGGAAATACGTTTTAATTGGATATTTATCACCAAAATTATACACAGAAAGACACCTTGTGGTGTCAACTATGGCTATCTGAAATAATCTAATTATTCTTATTTAGTACTAAATATCTTAAAGTATTGGGTCATCCAAAAAGTCATGATGCATTTTTACATAGAAAAATGAATATTGACTTTGATGAGTATTGAATGAATGAATATTGAATAGAAAAATATGGAGAAAGACTTTTTCAGACCAGGATCTGACTTTGGGCAGTCTAGCTGCATTGGTCCGAGTTCTGAATGCCATTCTACTTTCCAACTGGTCAGTCAAAACATGTTCAGTGAGCATTTGTGGTATTTAACCCTATGAGGGAGATACCAGTAAACAGGGCACATCTCTAACTTGAAAAAGATCATTCTCTAGCCTTCAACTGTAGAATCAAAATTCTGCTCAATCAACCCAAAATAAATGCCATCCATGTCACAATCCAATAGTATTCTCAGAAAAAAAATCCCTTCATACTTAAAGTTACCAAGATTCGGAGTAAAGGTCTCTGAAGTCTGCTCTGTAGCAACGTCAGTGTTTTCAAAGTATGTGCTGAGAGCTTTACAAAGATGCACGCTGTGCAAACATTCGACTTGGATTTCTCTTGATATATTGTGCTAGTTCGTTCCATCGCTAATAACAGAAATACTGCCCCTGCATAATTTAAGAGATCAGAGGTTTATTTAGCTCAGTTTTGGAAACTTCTCAGCCTTTCAACACTATAATGAAAGTAAATCTCCTAGTATTCTTAATACAACCAAAGTAAATACATGAATTTTAGGGAGACATTTAAACTACAATGCATAAGTGTGTGTGTATACATATATATGTGTATACACTCATTTTTATACTTCATGTAGGTGTAATTACTATTTCAACTAAAATGTTAAACTATTACTACTAACTAAAATACAGTTTTGCCATTGGGTCATTTTGTGTATCTCAGATGACAGATTGCTCTTGTCATGTCTTCCTTGAATAATTGAAGAATATTCTGCTATTACAAGAAATCTACTTACAAATGTGAAAAATTATTATAACACAATGGCTAGGAATAATGGCTCTGGTGCCATGGAGGTTAAGACTCCCACATGACCTGCTGCAGTTCGAGTCCTGGACCTGGAGGCTTGCTTTTTCTCTTTTCCTTTCTCTCTCTCTCTCTGTCCTTCTCTGAGCAAGTTAAAAAACAATAATGACAAATTAAATAAATGAGTAATCCTTTTAAAACAGAAAAGAAGAATGGCGTTTGGTGCTAGTAGATGGCATGCTGGTTAAGGTTCTGGACTCCCACATGGTTCAAGTCCCAGACCTGACAACTCGCTTTCTCACTTACTTTCTCTCTCCATTGCTTTGTTTCTTATAAGCACATGTGCTCTATATCAAATTTTAAAAAATAATAATAATGACAAATAAAATTAAGTAAATAATTCTCTTTTAAAAAAAGAATAATGGTTCTAGAGTCAGACACTCTAGATATAATTTCAAGCCCAGATATTTACCATATAACTTTGAGCAAGTTTCTAAACCTCTCTGTACTTCAATTTCTTCATGTGTTAAATGAGATAGACCTCATAGAATTGTGAGAAATAGAAGGTGGAATATATATGATATTTAAAAGAATAATGGTTCTAAAGTCAGACACTCTAGATATAATTTCAAGCCCAGATATTTACCATATAACTTTGAGCAAGTTTCTAAACCTCTCTGTACTTCAATTTCTTCATGTGTTAAATGAGATAGACCTCATAGAATTGTGAGAAATAGAAGGTGGAATATATATGATATTTACGTATATATCATATATATTCTTTCATATAAATGTGAGACATTTTAAAATATATATATATATATTTTAGGGGAGAACACGAGATAGTGTAATGATTACATCACTGGACTCCCATGTAGATCATAGTTCAAGTTCAGAACCCAGTAGCTTGAAACACGCTGGACACGTGTGTGTATGTGCCCAAAATCCCAAGAGGAGAGTAGAGAAGAAGGAATTGCAGCGTGGCCATCCCCTCCATGGGATGATTTCTCGCTTTCTCTCTCTCTCTCTCTCTCTTTCTCTCTCTCTCTCTCTCTCTCTCTCTCTCTCTCTCC